TAGTGAACTAGCCAATTAAATTCTTTAAAAAATTTGTTATAAGCTTATAACAAAGTTGATATCTAGATCCTAGAATTTGTTATATCAAGAGTTCACTGTATTGATTAGACATAAAAAATCCAACTAAAAATAACGTATACAATATAATGATTAGACGTAAAAATCTAACCAAAAATAACGTATACAATATACTGATTAGACGTATATATTCTGTATTTTTTGTATACAGAAAAGTTGATTTTCAGTATCTAGTATACGAAAATATTTGGAAGGGTTATGATTACTTTTTATGATACTGTAAAGTTATGATAATATGGTTAAATAACACAATGGTGATTTGAATTTATTGCTAAATAAAAATACTAAAAATGTATATATAAAAATCCATCTTGTGTCAAAGTCATATACTGCCACAATAAACTTCTTATTTATGTGAACGGATAACTTCATGTTTCACTTGTAGAATAACAAAGAGTTGACATTGTAAAAAGACGATAGATGATTAATATTTTTGATGGATTTTAAGTTTATTTTTTTTGATTTATTTAATAATAATGTCTTATGTTTGATAAGGTAAGTAAGTAGGTTCAGGTTTTTCGAACCCAATCGATAATTGCGGTCTACTACAACTAACATGAGCAACCATTACTTAAGTCTCTTAATGAATGTAAAAAAATGATTTCATATCATATGGGAATGAATGGAAAAGAGTCATTTTTTGAAACATAAAATTAACTGACATCTAAGCCTCCTTTAAAAATATTCCACTATTCTATAAAAGTACTAGTTTAGTTGATTCAATGATTCATGTATTACTTCTGCTTCAGAAAAAATATATAAAATTAGAGTTTCGGGTCACCTAAATACGTATGCTGCAACTGAATTAATATATTTTGTATCTTTATTTTGATTGGTTAAAATTAGATGTCTTATGTGATGGCTGTCTCTAATAAGATTATATTATGTAATATCTAAGAAAAGGGATCAAATTAAATTTTTTTTCAAAAATTTATTTCTAAGTAAAATAGATACAATTTTTATCATTTGAATCAAGAACTTTAATTATTTTTAAAAAAGTTTTTTTTAAAATTTGGTCCCTTTTCCCAGCATTTACCTCATATTTCTATATTTTTAATTAAAGTTTAATTAAAATTTCTTATAAATAATGATCTATCAATGGTAAATAAATTAAAAAATATATGCTTTTAATGCATTGGTATTGGGTATAATTATATTTAAAATTATGATAAAATATGATTAGTTTATTAAATAATCACTGGGTATTATTCAAAATTTTATTTTTGCGATTGAATAATACCTGATACTATTTTCAGGGGGTATTATACTAAGAGAATACTATAGGCAGCGCTATACAGTAAATTTTTTTTTTGCAAAAAAATTAAATCACTAACTAATTCTTTAAGAGAATTTAAATTGGATAATAAAAGACTTACAACTATTTGTGTTAATCAAAAGTACAACATACCAAGTCAGGAGAGTAATAAGGTCCTATTGCATATAATATTTAATCAAATAAACATAAAGGTAATAAATGTTATTGAATAAAATTTTATTAAACTGAATTCTAATTTATTTATTTATACTTTATTTATTTATACATTTAGCCCTTACATAAACAAAACGTAAATAAATACAGGGTGTATTTACAAATTCAATTGGATTAGATTGAGTCGACATCTCAATCCAATCCACAGTCATAAATCACAAAATTCAATTAGATTGAATTGAGATAATCCAATTGATTGAATTGGATTGGATTTTCCTATTAAATTTCCAATCTAAGGTATACCCCATGATTAATAATATTTTCATCATATATTATCACGGCAACCACCCTCTTTCGCTTCAAAATTTTTTTTTAATTTTTTATAAAATTTTTTTCTTTAACAATAATAATGGAAACTCCTGGTCCTTCTAACGAAAAAGAGCCCTTTGCTAAAATGAACAAGACTAATATAAATAAAAAAAGTCTTACAATTAGAATGAGGATATTATAAAATTATTACTTACATTTTTGATAGAATGAAAAAAGAAGTGAATAATTTAAGTAAAAAACGCGATAGCGAGGGTAATACAAAAGCAAAACTTTGGTAAAATGCGTCTGCTATATCTTTTAATGACAATTTCAAATATTCTGCTGAACAGTGTGCAAATAAATAGAAAAATATTAAAAAGAATTACAAGATGATTTTTTGTATTTATTAATTTAATAACTTTTTTTAATAAAAAATTTTTTTAGGATGATATGGATAAAATAAATAAAGTGGTAATAATCCAGTTGAAGTTTAATATAAGACGAAAGTAGAAGAAATACTTGATAAAAACCATTCAAGTTTAATTCCAAAAGTATTAGATAGTAGTTTGAATATTGGCGATCTTGATAATCTATTTAATAAAATTACAGGGCGAACTAAACAAAAGAGAAAGAATAGATCTAAATTTAATCAAGAAGAAAAATCACAAAAAGCTTATAGATATGAAGTTCAAAAAGTCAAGAATTTGCTAGATGATTTAATGTATCAAAGAATGGAGGAGCAAGAATACAAAAAGGAAGAGTGTAAAAGAAAAGAGATAGAAAGAAGGCAAAGAGAAGAGCAAAGGCAAAAGGAATTTAATTTACTAATTTCTGCTTTACACTCTTCAAATAATATAACGTTACCTCAGATTAATTATGATATTAAAATTAAAAATTATTTATAATTATAATTTATATTTTTTTTTACTTATTCAATTAATTATTTGTAATTCCTTTTTATTATCAATCTACTTCATTTGATTTGCAAAATAATTCTTCAGAAATCAATGCTACACAAATTAATAATGTGACACATATTAATACTATGCAAATTAACAATATTTTGCCTAATAATAATAATACTTCGCAAATTAAAGGCCCTTTTCCTTCATATTTTAATGAAGATTAATATATTGTAAAATATAATAAGGAATAAAATTCAAATTATAAATTTGTAAAATGAATATTATTTATTTATTCTAATGTTTCACTATCACCTTCATCACTATCACTGGTAAAATTATATGTATTTCTTCTATTATCTCTTTGAATTTTTTTATTTCACAAATAATTTGTTAAATTATCTCTAACAGAATTAGTTGAATTAGTTATATTATCATTACCTAATAAAGTTTAAAAATGATTTTGATCATCAAAGTATTCATTATCATTTAACATATCCTTTTGCCTTTCTTACAAATATTATGTAAAATACAAGTTACTGTTATAATAAAGATAGAAGTTTCTAATAATGTTGTTAAAGGATTAATTAAATATCTAAATCTTGATTTTAATTTTCCAAATGCTTGTTTTACACCTATATGTATTTGAGAATGTTTGGTATTATAATAGGTTTGTATTTACACTAATCTTCCTATATCAGGATATGGTGTAAGTAATCAATTTTAGCAAGGATAACCAGCATCACCAAGAATATATGCATTTGTAGGAATAACTGAAGAAGAATTAAACATATGATATAATGGAGAATTAATATATCAATAAATTTTCCAGATGAATCAATAACTGCTTGTAAAACAATTCTTTCTATTATAATAATCCATAGGAAATTCTTTAGGTGCTTTAATTAGTATATGATTTCAATCAATTGCTCCTACTACATACGAAATACCTGCTTTTCTTTGCAATATTACTGAATTCAATATGCTCACTAGGAAATCTATTAAATTCAAAAAAAATATTAATTTATATTTTATTTATTGGAAAAAAAATTAATTATCAATTATTTACTAAATCTTTGAAAAAGAAAATTACATTTAATTGCATATAGAACTGATTGAATAATATAATATATACTGTATTTGCCCAAAAATAAGCAACCTTTTTTTATTATAAAGTTGCTTATTTTCGGATACAATTTTTTTTTTTGAAATCTACAGCTTATTTTTATTAAACTACATTAAATCTTTATCTAATGATCATCTGATCTATTGTATAAATATTATACAAGATGATAATTATCTCCTTATTAAATCTGCATAATTTTCACGCTATTTTCATAAGGACAAATAATGCCACAAAAAGCTGTTAAACATAAAAAAGTTAAACAAACTTCTTATTCTATTAAAACAAAAAGAGAAGTTGTTAATTATGAAAAAAAACATGGCAAAACTGTAACAGCAAATCACTTTAACCTTAATGTCAGCATGGTTGGACGTTAGGTTAAAGCAAGTGTGAATTGGATAACTGAGACAAGCGATAAAAGAAAGAAAATTAGTTCTGGTTGAAAAGCCCTATATTCTGAAGCTGAAAAAGTATTATACAACTGGATTATAGAGCAACAAAAGAAAGAACTGGCTGTGAATTATTTAACTATACAAAATAAAATGAAAGAAATTTTGAGAGAACCAAGTATAATAGAATTTTATGATTCAATAGATGATTTTAAAGCATCACTTAGATGGTTATGCTTATTTTTGAAAAGATATGAATTGGTTTTGCGCCGACACACAAAAATATCACAGAACTCCCTAAACAAACTGAAGAATTGTTAGAGAGTTTTAATAAATTTGTCAACAATCTCAGGATGGAAAAGTCTTTTGAAATGCGCGATATCTTTAATATGAATGAAACGCCTGTTTGGTTTGATATGACAGGAAACTTTACAGTTAATCAAAAGGGTGAAAGGACAGTACATATATGTGGAATAGGAAATGAAAAAAATCATTTTACAGTTGTTCTTACATGTGCTGCTGGTAAGTTTTTAAAGTTATTTCGCTCAGTTTAGAATTTTTTATAGATTTTAGCGTTAGTAGCATAAATTTAAATTTTAAATTCAGATAATTAGATTCAGAATATGTTAGATCAAATAAAAAGTTAATTAATTCTATTAAAATTTAATTTATTTAATAAGATGGAACCAAGCATCCTCTGATTTGCATATTCAAGAGAAAGAGATTGGCACATGCTAAAAAAGAAAATATTCTATCTGGTGTGATCATTTGGTTTCAAAAAAGTGGATGGATGGACGCTAGTTTAATGAAGGAGTATGTTGATTACTTTAATGAAAATAGATCTGAAGATCCAGCAATGTTAGTATACGACTCATTCAAAGGACACTTAGAAGCATCAGTTAAAAATAAATTTCGCGAAAGTGATGTTTATTTAGCAGTAATTCCTGGAGGACTTACAAGTATTTGCCAGCCCTAGATGTTGCAATTAACAAGCCATTTAAGGACAACCTCTGCTAAGAGTGGCATCTATGGATGGCAAATGGCGATGCTGGAACAACTGCTAAAGGAAATCTTCAACGTGCTAAAATTAGTGATGTTTGTGATTGGGTCAAGCAATCATGAGATAAATTTTCTAATGAGATCATAATTGAATCTTTTAAAAAATGCGGTATAACAGATTCATTGGCAAACTCTGATGATGATACAGAGATTAATGAAGAATAAGAGATTGATAAATCAGAAATTGATGAAGAATCAGAAACTGAAGAATCGGAAATTGAAAAATGGGAAATTGATATTGATATTGAATCAGATAGTGATTATTAGTTAAGATAATACTTTTAATGCTTTTAATGACAAAATGCTAGTATATTTCCTTCATTGAACATTATTTCAATTATAATTATGTTTATTAATATGTCTATTAAACGTTTTATAAAGAATTTTAATAAATTTTGCGAATTTGCTTATTTTTGGGTACTTCATAAATATGATGTTACTTATTTTTTGGTACTTGCTTATTTTTAGGCAAATACGGTAATTCAATTTTTTCAAAATTTAAAATCTCTAACATATTTTCTAATAGGATTAAAGTATTTACATAATGCTTTAAACAATTATTTTCAAATTAGTAATAATATAGATTATGAATATATTGATTTATTTTATATAAAAATTTCAATTTATAATTATGCAAAATTGAAAAATGGAGAATTTATACATATTACATATAAATTTTTAATTGATGAAATTTTTTCAGATATTGCAATTCAAATGAGCGATGATAAAACAAATCAATATTTAACAGATAATAAATCTTGTTATGCTAAGGTAAATTTTAATATTATTATTTATTTAAAATAATATTTTATAAATTTAGGTATTACTTTTGCTTAAAGTTTTGATTTCAACTGAAATATTTCTTTTACAACTTCTTATAATTTATTGGTATAATTTTAAAATTCAAAAAGATAATCAAATATATCGCTTTTTTGTAAAAATTGTTGATCTTTATAATATTATTCCTATTGAAGCAGTTGAAAAACTAGTGTATATTATTCCAAGTTTTGCAAATGAAAATTCATTTTATGTTAATAGATTTATAAATTAAAATTCAAAGAATTAAAAATTTTTATTATAAAATTGTTATTTTTAAATTAGTAAATAAATAATATATTGATAATATTTTTAAAAAATATAATATTTTGTAATTTATTATAATTATTAAATTGTATAACTAAATTTTAAAAAAATATAATTGTAAAATATTTATATAATATTATATATATTATTTATATAACTATATTTTACAATTATGTATTATGTTAGATATTTATTAAATACTAAATATTATTTTATAATCCTTTATAAATTATTTATATAAGTATATTTTTTATACTTATGTATTTTAACATTAATAAAATTTTCATATAATATTTTATATAAATTTTATAGAAAAGTACAAATTATATAAAATATTACATCAATTTTTTAATGATATATTATTTTATAAATCTTTATATAAAAATTATATATATATAAAATATATTATTTATATATTACTAGTAAAGTCATAATATATTATATAAAATTAATGCATTATTATAAAAATTACGTAAATATTACATTTTTCAGTTTTTCCAGTAGATTTATACCTTTTTTTTTGACAATCTAAATTGAGTTAATAGATCTTTAATTTTGCATTTTATTTAGTTTTTATATAGTTGTTCTTTTCAAACTATTTGCAGTACCATTAATATAGACTTTATTGAACTTTTAAAAAAAAATTAAAATTTGTGTTACTAATCTATTTTATTATTGTTTACCATTTTTAAGATATAAATTTGCTTGCATAAGAAGTTTAAAAGTACAAAAAATTTTTCATACCATAAAATTAGAAGTTTCGGATAATTTACTTAAATGGTTAAATTGGTTAAATTTTCCTTTATATTTTTTTTTAATAATTTGGATAATAATTAAATATTAAGATTAAAAGATATAATTGTTATTATTTTATTAAAATATGAAAAATGATCCTTTATTCTAATTATTTAATATTTTAATAAAATTTTCGTAAGATTGAATGGTTGCAGTTTCATTTTTTCAAAATATTAAACCTTGTATAAGCCGCATTAATGAAGTCATCAGGCTTTGTGAATATGAAATATATGTTATAAAAATATTTAAGCCATAAGCTAAGCCTATGGTTATCATGATGTAAGTCGTAAAATAGACGCAAATTATGTGGCTCTACTATGTAATAAAAGTGGCAAATTGAAACAAATATTTGTCAGCTGATTAAGGATTGAAGACTTTTAATGTTGTTCTTTGAACTGTATTTCTATACCTTCTTTTCCAAACGATCGATTTGGAGAATCCCTCGAATGATGAAAAAAATGTTCTATTTAACTTGGCTATAACCGTTAAATCGTATAAAATATAAAAAAAAGTTCATCATGCTTTGAAATGACTTAGGGAATTATAGAGTCATGAAAAAAATAATTAAAGAAATATATAAAAAAGAAATTCATTTAATTATATACAATATAAAATGTCTTCATAATTTCTCCTCTCAATGTAAATTTCCATCATTAATATAGTGAATGTGAGATGAAAAAGTTCGTTAGGATTAAGTATATTTTCTATATAGAGCAGCAATAACTTGTATTGCGACCATATAAAACTTTTTGCAAATTTAGATCTCATTGGTACGATATTGCTGGTCACATAAATTTCTCGGAATATTTTCAGGAGAGGATTGTCAATGCCAGAAATTCTGGCGTAATTCTATTATTAACTAAACTTTTTAATAAATTCAATTTAAAATATATTTATGATATAAAGTTTATGTACAATATTAGTATTCATTTCTTAATTGTCTGCCCCAGATACCGTCATCAATGCTTGTATTTAATGACTTTCAATGTAGTGAATTTTCCATGAGTTTTCTTTAACTTAATTTCATAACAGTCACCGATTTAATCGGCTGGTTTATTCATATGTATATTAGATCAAGTCAAGGTATATAAAGTGCCGAATAAAGAGTTCGTTATCTAAAATTGTAAATTCAACAGATACAATTACTTGCACATAAATTTGTTAACATAATCTCTTATCATACATAAGCCTATCAATCAATCATGCCATATACGCAAATATTTACGTTCGGGATGATCGTGAACGAAAAAGCATAATGGGCGTAATTTTTGAAAGACTGGTAAACTCAAAAAAGTGATTCGTTAAATTTAAATCGACAGATGATTTAAAAAAGTACACACTATAACTATCCTTTTTTATTTTTAGAATTCCTAAAATGTCAGCTAAACAGGCCCTCGCAATACACTCGTCAATTACAAAGTTCCGTCCCGAACTTTTTGTCGAGTTTTGCGCTTATTTAACGCCAAGTGATTTATTCATCCTTTCTAAAGTATGTCGTCAATTTTATTGTTACTTAAGTGCACCAAATTCCTTTTCTACCCAACAAATATGGAAGAGATCTCGATTAAAATTTATGACAAATGACTTGATGCCTCCACCAAATGGAATGAATGAAGAATGTTATGTTGAATTATTAATAAATAACAGAACGAAGTTGTCAAATTTGTAAAATTAATAAGAGAAGCAAGATTTATTGGGAATTTGAAGTTATGTGTTGTTCAGAATGTTTCTCTGAGAAAACCATAATGTAAGTGTTTCGAGCTTTTTTAAATGAATAGATTTGAACATATGTATTCTGAAGAATGCTGAGATTTGTTATTTAAATTAATTTCATAGGGTTGAATCGTACTTATAGTATAACATTGTGGATTATCCACGAGTCTTGCTTGAAATCATGCCATTTATTAACGAATATGGTAACATATATTATTGGAAAGAACAATTAGATTTTGAACGTGATCAATACACGTTATTTTCTCATAGTCATTTATCGAATTTGCAATCTTGGTTAGATGTTAAAAAAAATAAGTTTGATTCTATAATGAAATATGCTAAAGATATACAAATAAAAAAAGTAGAGAAAAGGACAAGTTCTATATTGAATTTTCTATTAGAATGCCACCAACGTCCCTAACGTCTTGCGATCGATCCTACGGCCACCCCTGCCCGAGGACCAAAAGCCCTCAGTCCTTGAGCGAGCCTCTTTTCGATTTCGCTATCTTATGATTCTCTATATTCCTAAATTTCCTTATCCCACCATGCAGGTGAGTCACTACTACACACAAATAGACTCATCGAGAAAATTCGGATGAGCCAAAAATACAATATTTTATTAAGGCGAAGGAAAAGAAAGGAAAGAAAAGAAAAGATTTTAGCAAGTATAATAAATATCAAAAGGGAAAAAATTTTAAAAATAAGTTTGTTTATAAATATGGTTAAAACAGATGTTAGAGATAATATAATGAATGACTTGACAATTAATTATTAATTAAAAAAAATTGTTGGGAATTGACTTCTGTTCTTATATAGTCATTTTTATTTACTTTATCTACATTATGATTTAATAAACTTCAAATTATTCAATAACAAAGACGCGTAAGTTTATATCATGATGCAGTTTTCCTCCATTCATTTTTAATCTTTTATCTCTTACAGAAGAAAGCAAACAATCGAAAATAATGAAAAAATTTCAAATTTTCACATAACAAGCTAACTATGTTAAAGCACTGTTAAAAACTTTTATTATTGGGAGTAATGTACTTGGTAAATAATAAAAAATCCGTGTAAATTTATTGTGGTCCCTATGAAAAAATGTTAGTTTCGTACAATTTTTATGTAACTATTTTATCGAAATTAAATCGTATAGAAAAAAAAATATTAGGAAAATTTAATTTACAAAAATTGCAAATAATAAAAAACTGGCATTCATTGGCATTTAATGTAAACTTGCAGAGCAATATAAATTTAAGTTTGGTAAATAATCTTTATTGATCTCATTATATATTATTCACTTAGCACGCACGTCTTATTAACTACCAAGTTAAATCGAAAATAAATTTTTAAAGGAAGGTATAACTATGCGAAATTGAATTACACATACTGCTATTATTCACTCCATTTATTTTAATGTAAGGCAAACTTTAAGAAAAAATCGAAAGTATGTTCAAATAAGGTGTTGTCCTTTAATGACAAGGGTAGAGATTTACCTAATATAATCTTTATATAGTATATTTTAACATGAAACATTTGATTTTCTTTACAAGGAACTTTAATCAGCTTGTTGTTAATCTTAATTCTGACATTCAGGTTTAATATTAAATATGTTATTTAATTAATCCTTGACACAGGCGAAGCGATCTTTGTTATTTAAACTACATTCACAAAAATTAGCCAACTTTATATTAAAATTTATCAACTGGTAAAATGTCTCCAATTTACCATATCTATACAAGTTTACCTTCCTACCTTACACGCGAAAAAATCAATATCTGGAAGGTTTCCAGGAAAATCAGGTTCTGAGAATTTTTGCCTAAAATTAAAGATCTTGTTGCATTTCGTTTTAATATAACATTATCAAAAAAAAAGTGAAATGCAATAAAACCAATTTGGTAAAAATCTGTTTTTTTCTAACAATCTTCCATCTTATAAATTACGTTATGTATTTATTGATGTGAAAGATTTCTAAAAAAAAATAAACTAGCTCAATAATCATTGAAATTTAGATAATGAGTATGAATGATCTCATTTAATATAACATTAAATGTATTAATTCTGCAGCAAATGAAAATAAGTTCTAAACTTTACTTTCCGATATGCTTGTATGTACCTGGTTATTAAAATTTGCATTTGTTATACGAATAGTTTATTTTTTTTTTTTTGCTAAATCATTTTAAAAAAAATATATCTTAACCTAAATCTGATTAGATCGAGAATATGGGATTGCCAAATGATGAAATTTTGTCAACGAAATCTATTGTTTCATTCAGAGCATGAGGAAAATACATAAATGATTACCTTATAAATCGTGAAGAATTCAAATTTAGCCCTTACAACAATCCACTAAATTCGTGATCGTTTTTGACCTATACTTTCTACGGAATATTTAGTTTCATTTTATCATGACAATCCGAAATGATAATTTGGGACTTTCTCTGAAATGATTATGTTCATTTGGCAATGGATATATCCATTGGTAAACAATGGACAATAGAACTTTCTATTGCGTCCATTAAAGTTTTCATGGTCCATTGTTATCCATTATCCATAAATTCACAAGATAAAAAGTGATTACTGTGTATAAGCTTTTTTTTAAATGGAAAACGCAAGAGGAAAACGCCGCATCCATACTATAGTTTAAAATATTTCACAAGAAAGATTGGGAAGCTATCTGCATAAACAATTTATACTGGGCATAACATAAAGTGTTGTGTTATATATTGTATCATTTGTTGTAAATTGAATTTTTAGATTTATATTTAAAAATAACATTATTTATATTATTAAAGTAATATGAGTTTAAGGGTATCGTGATATAAATAAACTTGATTAAATTTTAATATATAAATCCGAAAATTTTGATCTTTTAACTTTTCTGGATT